TTCTGGGCTCTGTCCTGGCCTCCCTCCCCGCCGAGGGGGCGGGGACCGACGGCGCCCTGCGAAAGGCAGGCGAGCCGGAGCCCAGGTATGTTCTTCCACAAGGGCCGGGCGGCGGACAGAGCAACGTCGGAGCGGCGGGTGGAGGAGGCGGACGAGAAGATGCCACTGCCACTGCCGCCTCAGGGCGACCCCGGGGAGGCCAGCCCGTCCAGGAGCTCCAAGAAGCACACCCCTTTCCACCTCTGGCGCTCCAAGAAGAAGCAGCAGCCTCCGCCGTCGGACTGTGGGGTGTTCGTTCCGCACCCGCCGTCTGATTGTGGGGTGTTCGTTCCGCACCCGCCCCTGGCGCCCCTCGGCGAGGCCAGGTAAGCTCTCCGCCCAAGCCCTCCAGTCTCACCTCCTCCTCTTCCTCCTCCCCATCTACTCCGCTACCTTGACCCTTGAATTAGCTGGACCCCACTCTTTTGGATGGAGGAGCGGGATCCGTCTCACCTGGCACAAGCGTAACGGGGTCCAGAGGGGCGCAGGCGTGGCCTCCGCGGGGGAGCAAGTCCCTCGCGGTTTCTAATCCAGACCGAGCCCCAGCGAGGAAAGCTTGTGCCCACCGACGTAGACTTTATTTTGGTTGTCAACAGGTTTATGCAAGGGTCCACTCTCAGCCTGCTGGCGGGAGCACAGAGTGGGGAAGGGTCATTACCGGGAGGGATGGCGGCGGGCACTCTACCTGGGGGTATATAACACGTTCCATTCTGGTGCCTTCATTGCGAAGACTCGCACGCTTACGCTGTATCTCCATTGTCCTTACGAGACCTGAAGGGAGAAGTGGCAAGGATGGTCACCCCCACTTTATGGGTAGAGAACCTGAGACCAAAGGGTAAACGGCTTGTTCCTATTGGAATCAGTGTCAGAACTACGCAGCACCTATTCAAAGTGTCATTGCGCTTTTTACATTTGTATCATAATTTTGTGGTGGCTTTATTATTCCATATGTATACTTATTCAGTTATGCTGTCCGAATTCATACATTTGTTGAACAGTAAATCAGTTTAAAGTAACAGTATATCTATGTGGTTTGGAGATACAAAGTATATTTAGTGAAGGACAGTTAAGTACTAGTACATCCTTCTGTGTGTGTGTGTTTTTAAAACACACCCTTATGAACAATGAGGACCAGATTACATTGTGCAAGATTTGCATTTTAGACATTTTCCCCTTTTATTTCTAAGGAGCTCTTAATTTTTCAATATATTTTCATTCATTTAGTATAAATTTTCTTGAGAGCCTTAACTAAGTGCTGGGATATAAAAAACAGTAAGAGTGGTCTCTGTCATCAAAGAATTCTTGGTCTCTTGTGGAGACCAAAAAGTAAACCGTGGGATAAGTGCTTTGATTGATGCTTGCACAGAGGAGGGAATCCATGGAGACTTCCTGGAGGAGGGTGGCTGAGGTCGCTTAGTCCGATGGGAAAAGGGGAGAAGCAAGGAGTTGGAGGCAGAGGTTGCACTATGAGCATCACCAACACTGGGAAGAGCATGGTACTTCCTGAGAAGCACAGTGGTTCGGGGATGTCTGAGTATGTGTGAGGGGGTAGCGAGAAGAGTGTTAAAAGACATTTTATTTTTCCTCATATTTTATCATCCATCATAGTAATTGGTTGTAATAGAAGATATTTTTATCTATTCAAAGACTTACTGTGCTTATGAATTGAAATGTCTAACAAAATGTTACTTAATAATGATGTAGTCAACTTTGAAGTCTTTTTCCTACTACCTCAGTAAGTACTTTCAACATTTCCATAGTGGTTGTTCTTATCTGACCTAGTGCCATCGTTTCTGGCTATCAAAATGTAATAGTCACAGCTATGGACTATTTATTCAAAGGAGAATACATTTTATTTTATTTAAAAAAATACTTTTATTGATTTTAGAGAGAGGAAGGGAGAGGGATAGAGACAAACATCAGTGGCTGCCTCTGCACGCCCCCTACCGGGGATTGAGCCGACAACCCCACATGTAACCTGACCGGGAACTGAACCATGACTTTCTGGCTCCTGGGCCAATGCTCAACCACTGAGCCGCACCTTCCAGGTTCAACTGCAAACATGTTTTAGACTAAAACTTAAATTAGGAGCATTCGCTTCTTTCCTTGAGCCTCTTGTGTTTTAGTTCTGTCTTGAAGCACTCTAGTCCTTCCTTCAGAACTATGATGAACTTTGTAGTGACAAATGTTCTGAAAACTAAACATACTGGTCTGTCTTGGGGATATTTTTCTAGTTAGATCATCATTATGAGGGAGTGTACCTGTTTCTAGTCTAAAGAGGTGGTCAAAGCACACTGAGGTTTCTGGTCAGTCTTTGGCCAGTGTGGCTCCATTCATTTCTGCCCAGGACTTGGAGGTGATGGAACTTGGTCAGAAGGTGCAGAGCTTACTGTGGCCTTTGTTTCTGCATAAGGATGGGACAGTCAGGTGGCCACACATATATTCTGAACATACACAATGAATATTATGGGCTTTTAGATCAAACAAAAATGAAATGGCTGTTGACCTTGGGCAAGTTTCTTTTCTGAGTCTCAGTTCCTTCAGTATAGAAAATAGTAATAATGACTCTGTAGGGCTTTTGTGAATATCAAATGAGTACTTACGTTATTAAATGTAAAATTTTTATCATACTCTGGGCACAAAGTAGAAACTCAGTAAATGTAAAACCATCATCATCATCATCATCATCATTATAAATACAAAGATCTAATGGAAGAAATGGAAAAAAATAGATGGGGGGAAATGCTTTTCTTCCTAGAAGAGCTTACCACTCCGATGATGGTTCAAAGTTTATTGATGTTAGATTTCTGTAGTCTGCAAATATTTGTGGCTTTTAGTGTGGATGTTCTAAAAATCAATGATAGTTGTTTTCTTTCTTTGCATAAAGTAATTTGAACATGACTGCCTCTCTTCCTAAAATTCACCCTTAAAGGTTTTCTTCAGCTTGGTTTTGGTAAGCATGTTAATATTTTCATAGAAATAGAGCCATTGCCCTCCTGGATCAGCCTCATCTCTCATATAGTCCATTGGTCTCTTGCCATCAAAGGGCCCAATGTTGTGTGTGGAGAGGGCATGGTGGGCCATGGCCAGACTTTCTTTGCAGCCATTAGCGGCACTGTCATTTACTGGGTTTTGAATTATACTCTGTTTTGTAAACAATTTATTCAGAGCATGGGTTCTCTATCTGGATTTAAGCCCCTGTTCTCCTTCTTACTGTGATATTTAGCCATGTCATCCTGGGCCAGTTATTAACCTTTTTGTGCCTCCGTTTTCTTATTCACAAAAGGGGCATAGCAAGAGGTTGTTATGAAAATAAACAGGCTAATGCATGTCAAGTGCTCAAAACAGTGATGGCATATTGTAAGCACTCAATCAATGGCAGTTGTTTCTCTTTTTTCTTGTTAGTATCTTGTCTATACCGCCTTTTGAGCAATAATTTTATTTTATGCTATATGACCGAAATGGTACTTCCTTTTTATTTTCCTTAATTAAGGCACTCTGTGTTGTTTTGATTAGAAATAAGCACTTATCCAAAGGTCAATGGAGTACATTAAAAATGATTGCCCTGGAACTGAATTGAACCCCACACCCAGAGGCAAGCATTAATGCTTTCTGCAGGAGCGCCAAACTCAAGTAGTTGGTGGGCCTGATAATCCAATAAAAAGCAAGGATAGACTATGGTATTGGACAGGCTCAGTTTGAAATCTGCCTCTGCCATTTGGGTAAGTTTTGTTTAAGCCTCAGTCTTTAGCTTAGCTTTCTCACTTGTATAATGGAAATAATTGCAATTTTCTTGTGGGGCTCTATGAAGATTTGATATTATATGTGTAAAACACCTGTCATAGGGTCCAGCTGAAGCAGATAGAAGCAGAAGTGATAGTGGCTGTAATTGTTGTTGTCCTAGTAATGGCATGCGGTTTTTACTTTGGAAGTGGAGTTAAACAACTACAGAGCCCAGAAGAAGTTGTATTCAGGTCTGTCCAGCCTTGATGTACATGTTAGTCTCTAAAGGGTGCCCTGCATGCATTCAGGGATTTAAAAGTCTTAATATATCTGACTTAGGAAGCCAAAGAGAAACTTTATACTTGACGCTAGTGAAGTTTCTCCTGAAGTGATTTTTGGAGTCTAAGTTTAGAATAGGATAATTCTTTGCCACTTATCTCTGTCATTGTATCACTTTATCCACCCTCCATTTCTATACTTCTAGTCATAATCCCTGTAGTCCATATACAAGTGATGTAAATGCTTTTGGAGATTTTTTGTAAAACTTCTGGGCTTGGGTTTCCTTTTTCCTTTTTATCTTTTAATTATAAATCTTATTTGTTCCTAGCTGGTGTTGCTCAGTGGCTGAGCGTTGGCCCATGAACCAGGAGGTCATGGTTTGATTTCTGGTTAGGGTTCATGCCCAGGTTGTGGGCTCGATTTCCGGTGGGGGGTATGCAGGAGGCAGCCAATTAATGATTCTCTCTCACCATTGATGTCTCTCTCTCTTTCTCCCTCTTCCTCCCTCTCTCTGAAATCAATAAAAACATATTTTAAAACAAAACAAGCACATATCTGTCTTAAAATTTGACTTTACCTAAGGGATCATTTGTGTTTCAGAAATATCAATATAGAAAAAAAAAAGATTATTTAATTTTAAACAAATGTGTCTGGTAAGAAGAGTATTTGAAGTGTGCATTTATGCCTAGTTTGAAACACTTTATCAAATAACTGCTTAACCTCCATTTCATGTTATACTTATTATTTAGAAGATTTAGAGATCCTGCTCATGAAACGCAATGCAATTTGACCCATAAAAATGCTTTTCTAGGATTAATGATAGATCATTCTATGGGACAAATTTCTTTTTTGTATGTTATTGAAATGATTATCAATCACAATTTTTAAGTCATTTTTAATTTATTTTAGAGAAAGAAGAAGGGAGAGAGAGAGAGGGAGAGAGAGAGAGAAATATGAGAGAGAAAAATCGATCAGTTGCCTCCCGTACACACCCCTACGGGGGATCGAACTTGCAACCTGGATATTTGCTCTGACCGGGAATTGAACCCACTACCTTCTTCTGTGTAGGACAATACTCCAACCAACTAAGCCACACCAGCGAGGGCATCAATGAAAAAAATTTTTTAAGGTATCAATCAAATTTTAAAGAGAAGTTTGTAATGTTTAACAAACACTTACTGAGCACGCATTCTGTATCAGGCACTGGGAAATAGAATGAGGAAATCAGAGGTAATCCTTAGGAAACTTGCAGTCCCATGGAGGATAGGGCATATGGAAGGAGGTGACTAAAGTAGCATATGATGCACTGAGTGCAGAAATAAAGGATTTAATCAAGTACATTGAGGTCAGAAGGATTATCCTGAAGAAGCAGACAATTTTTTTCTCTCCTTAAGAAGTTTACTCATGTAGAATAATTAATGAGAATTTTTATTCTCTGATGTGGAGATCATCAAAGGCTCCAGGTTTTCTTGAGGTTATGATCATCTTAACCTATATCCAGTACCGGACCAAAAGGAAAATTATGGAAACTTGTATTTTCACAGTAGCATTTAAAACAAATAAAAAGAATCATTTACTCAGGATTATGCATAATTCATTTTCTTCAGTTCCTTAAAATATCTAAAGCCTGATATTATATTATTTCAATTCTTTTGTCATATTTTGGCACCTAGAAATGAAGACTGTGCTTGGAATGTAACACTGGTTTGAAAATCTTGGCTGAAATGATAAGTAAACATCATGTTGACACTCTAAAATTATGGACTGAAAAGAGTGATTCTTGACATTCCTTAGATAGGTTTAAAGATCCATATAAGTGAGGCAGAGAAGTCCTTATTTTGGGTACATGACTAATTTGGCATCTACTCAGTCTCTGTCAAAATGGTTTTGGAGTCTGTATCAAGGAGAGTCCAGCATTGCCTATGTTCTCAAAGCAAGGTGTTCTTCTTTAAAAATAACCTATGCTTAGTTTTATGACAAATTGCATGGCACACCCAACAGGTGTCTTTCCACATATTCACTTTAGAAAAATGAATTGTGGGCTTTTACCCTGGAGAGGATTGAACTGTGAATTCAATATTTTGTCCTGAAGTGAGTTTTCCAGATAAAGTATGCATGAGTGTCTGATACTTGTGGGGAGTTTGGCCAGAAAGGCCAGTCAGGTTATGGGTCTCATTAGCTCATTTATAGCTCCCTTTATGCATCTCATTAGCTCATTTATAGCTACTTCTGTGGGTTCACATTTATGAGAAGTCTCCATTCTAGAGAATGAACTCCTGCTTAGTGCTGTCTTTGCAGCCCTGTGCATCACCTGGATTGGCCTGTGTAGTGGAATTGAGGCAATAGACCCTTCCTAACAAGGGATCATTTTTAAAAATATATATTTTATTGATTTTTTACAGAGAGGAAGGGAGAGGGATAGAGAGCTAGAAACATCGATGAGAGAGAAACATCGATCAGCTGCCTCCTGCACACCTCCCACTGGGGATGTGCCTGCAACCAAGGTACATGCCCTTGACAGGAATCAAACCTAGGACCCTTCAGTCCGCAGGCGATGCTTTATCCACTGAGCCAAACCAGATAGGGCAAGGGATCATTTTTGACAGTGTCAGGAGATTCCAGGGACATACAAGTGAGGCAGAGAACTCAAAGTTCACTCGCAATGTCCCCAGCTTCTCTCACCAACACGCTGTACACAAAGTGAGTTCAGGTTGAACCTGTAGCTAACACAGGAAAGTGAAACAGAATTAACAAGTGCCTTTTGTTTTTCACCTTTCCATAGATGGCAATTAAATGAGCAAAAGTAAGTTGTTGTTAGGCTTGGCATAATATTCTGTGGTGAAGAGTTGGCTGCTAGCTGTAGTTATTCTTGCTGTGTGCCATTTCAAGCCATTGGCACTAGCTGAATTTCATTTATTAGAAGTTAGGGTTATGGCATCCTGAAGGTCATCTCAACAGCTCAAATAAGAGAATTGGCCAACAGTTACATAAAGACACCATGCAAAATTTACCTCTTTTTTTTTTTTTCAAAATAGTCAATAAGCAGTAGTATAAGCTCCTATTTTTTTTTTTCCTAGCTGGATAGTACTTATCTTGTAGTCGGGGATCAAGAGGAAAAATAATATGTCTATGAATAAGATAAGAAAAGAGAGGACACATTTGGTTTATATTAAGAACTTCAGACCATGTCTATAAAAACATTGTTTTCCATCAAGATTTCATTGAAAGATGCAGTTTACTTAACATACACTGTGTGTATCACATACTGTATATGTTAAGTGCTTTATAAAATTAACTCACTACAATTCATTTATAACATCCCTGAGAGATAAGTACTGTTGTTATCCCAATGTTGAGGAAAATGAGTTTCAGAGAGGTCTGGAAATTTGACCGTCACAGAGTTCATAGGGGCTGGGGCTGGGATTCCCCACCTGATGGTCTTGAGTCCTGTGGTTAAACCATTGCTGATATTTTACCCCACCTGAGGCTCAGAATGGCTGTGTGCAGTAAGCCCACACCCTCATTTTATAGATAAGGAAATTGAAGTTCAAAGAAGGCAATGCAGATGGAGGAAGTAGGACCAAAACTCAGGTTTTCTGGATTCCAGTCAGCTGGGTTTTTGTTTTTGTTTTGTTCTCTTGGATTATAGACTGTACCTCTCCATTCCTCACCTCTACCTACCTTTATCAGGAGCCTAACTGACTCATCTAACTTCCTGATGACTATTCCCCTGGAAATCTTCCTCTAGTTTCACAAACCAAAAACTATGAGACAGTCTGATCCATCAATTGAGTTTCTAGTTATTCAACCGGTGCATTCACTGTAGTCTGGTTACAACATATTGAATACTTTCAGAGTTTCTGCTTAATTAGTACATTACCTACTAACTAAAAAATAAACTTTAAAATAACTTAATTCATGTTTTCAAAAAAATTTAAAACTTGCACATGCCATATTTTATAACAAAATATCATTTATAATTATAGAGTATATCCATATTGTACCCATGTAAAAATCCCCTTTATGGCATTTGAAGTAATGCTGTGACATGTAATATATTTTATCTATTATTTAAATGTTTTGATCATACTAATGGGTTCATCAATACCCTAGGAAAGCACAGCTTGGTATTTTTTGCATCTGCTGTTTGAAAAAGATATGACAGTCCAAGCAAACTGTTGACATTCACGCTGAAATACAGTGTCTCCTTTATCATGAGTGCCATGTGCAAACCTAAGAGCTGGCCCTTTTCAAGCCTGTGCAGTGGAGGCTCCCCCAGGCCTTGCCAGCCATTCTTGGCTCTACTGCCTTGCATATATTGGCTTGCTTCTCCACTGGTTAGTTCCCATGAACTACGTGGTTATTATCTGCAAAACAAGAAAATAAAACTATTCTCTTTTATTATTTAGTCTACCCAAAACTATCTTGTCTGGGATAGACTCAAATATTGATCAAGAATCCTACCTTGGAGCATGCTTGGGTTGGAAACAAGGCCTTGGTATTCCCCGGATGAGTTGGTAAACATGTTTAAACAAGCTAGCCTAAAACCAGATTCTGGATTTTTTTCCAAGAGAAAAGCAAAGTACGACTGAATGTCTGGCATTTGTTCCAACTTCTGACTTTTACCAATTTGTATTTTATGATTCTATTAATCTCACCCTGTGAGAAGTTTCAAGTATTTTGACCTAGACGTCTTAGTAGGTAGTGCATTGTTGGCACTTAATTGTACCCTTCCCTGTGATTTCATTTCATAGAAGCTCTTTTTTATGCTCATAAGGAGACAACCAGCCTTGGGTCTCGGTGGTAACTGTGGAAGACGCAGGGACACATCCTCTCCTTCGTCATCACCTGCTTCCTTCCCACAAGAGAAGCTCTTCAGGGACTGATGCATCACCTTCCTCGCTCACTACTGGGTTCCTGGCTGCCTGTCTCTGCCTGGTTATGATTTCACAAATTTACAAAGCCAGTGATGTTAAACAAAGAGGAGTGCCAATTTTTACCTTCATGCCACTCGATAGCTGATCAACAGACAGCAAAAATGACAGCCAGTTAGTTGGGCTTGCGCATGGTTTCTGAGGAAAATGGGTGTGGCCTGGGGGAATGGAGGAGGAGGATTCAGCCAGATAATCTCCAGTCTCTCCTGTAAATTAGCATAAACTTGCCAAGAATAAACAAGATAAAGGGTATGAACATTGTCTAGTACCAAGTATGTTTCAGTTGCTTTCATATTTGGCTTGTCTCATTTAATCCTCACAATAGCTCTCTGTTAGAGCTAAACTCCATGGAGCTCTGCGTTCCCCATATTTACATTTGAGAAAACAACAACCTGAACACAGCTTGTCCAAGCTGATTCAGTGAATAAATGACAAGCGCTCTATTTGAACCCAGGTCTTTCTGACCCCAAGACTCCTAATATTTCCACTGCACCACGAGAAAACTGAAGGTATTGATAGAGGGTGTATGTGTGTGGGAGGTAGCTGGCTAAAGATTAGACACATCCAATAGAAATGCGGTCATCCATTTACTCTCAGAGCGATCACCCTCTCAATAACCAGGAAGGAAGCATTTCTCCTTTTTTGTGATCCGCACCCTACATTGGCCCACTGTAGAGAAGGAGATTATGCAGGAACGAAGAATTTGTGTGCATAGGGAAGTCCATGGACACCTGGCTTTCCCGGGAATTCTTGACTTGAGATCATTCTTCTGAGAATCAGTGACTCAGTCCGTAAAGGGTTAACTAAACTTGTTACACCTGATTTCCAATCTCCTCTAAAAGCCACTAAGCCTTACTACCTGCTGCTGTGATGATTCACAGAGAATGCAAAGAAATGTAGGGTGAAAAATGTGAAGGGTTTTCACTCTGCTTAAAGATTAATCACAGCCCTAAAAGAGGAGAGAAAATGCTGGTGACCAATACTTCAGGTTTATAGGAGATACTGTTTACTTGAAAAATGGGATCTAGAGAGTTGGGTGTAAAAAAAGTATGAAAACCCTTTAAATGATCTTTGTCTTTATAGGAGCTAGTAAGGTTGCTTTTAGTGCCCATTTCTCTCAAAACTGAATTTTATTTTCACTTTTATGTATTTGAGTGATTTAATAAATTACATTGAAAAATACTCATACATTTCTATGAGTATTATATGCACAGAATCAACTCACAGTAGGTCAGCGAAGAGAGTAAATTTCTATTTCCATTATACTAGCCTAGAAATGTATATGTTCTGGTATTTAGATTTAACATAGTTATTTTAAAGCATAAATTATTATAATCATCAGTGCTGCTGAGTACAACTAGAAATTTGCTACTTTATCTTAAACCACACTTTCTGCTCAGTTCTGCTTATTATCGACTTTCTCAATATTATTTTATTTATTTTTTTGCTTTCTCTAATTTTAAGAACAATTATCGAGTGATAATGGTAATTGAAGCATCAGGTTTGCCTCTTTCCTTTGTGACTCAAGTAACTGCGCAAAGGTTCTCTCTCTCAAAAGAGGTCTTGAAATGTGGTCTTCAGTGACTCTGTCTTGCCACACTCAGGAAGGTAAGTAAATGTGAGAGTGAAACTGCTCTAGTGAAATTCATTTATTAAACAAACATTTATGGACACCTGCTGCGTTTGAGGCCCTGGGGCCCTGGCTGGCAAACCAGGTCAAGTCCAATTGTTGGAAAACTGATTCTCATTATCCTATCTTCTGGAGGAGCTGCACTATTCACCATTAAAATATTGAAAGTTTCCATACTTACTGTTATAATAAGGAAAAAGAAAATATTCAAATATGCAGAGGCTGAGAAATACAGGGGGTAGAGGATTGAGAAATATTGAGAGCTTTCAACACTGTTACTGATGAAGGAATTCCAAAGACCACTTGACAATGTTTGTGTATGCATATAAAGCCTCTGAATTGATGTTTATATTTATATCTGTATCTACAGATATGTCTTGTATGTATGTATATATACACATACATTCTAGCACCAAGTACTTTACTTACCTATGTATCAGTGTCAGATTACTCACTTGGTAAATTAAGCATGTGTTTGCAATGTCAGCAAAGCAGGAATGATGGAGAGAGAAAAAAACAGAATGTGCCTGGATTTTTTTTTAAATCCTTACTCAAACATATGTTTTAATTTTTAGAGAGGGGGTGGAGAGAAACATCTATGTGAAAGAGAAACATCAAACAATTGCCTCCCATACGAGCCCTGACCGAGGATGGATCAGCAACCTTTTTTTTTTTCTGTATTCCGGACAATGCTCCAACCAACTGAACTACCTGACCAAGGCATGCCTGGAATTTTATGTTATTTCAAAATAAAATTTGTTTTAGGGTTTATAATTGTTTTTATTTTGAATGACCTATTCGGGTGGGGGAGGCAAAATATTTTTATTGGTTAAAATGGTCATAATACAGACCTCCATATATACCTGTTTAAAGAGCTGATGGGGGGAAATGAGAATGATGTGAACTATGGAAAGGAATAGAGCAATGTGCCCAGTTTATTTTCATGTTCCTCACATAAGTAGGATTCCAGGCTCGAAAGTATCACTTTATCTTCTTTGAAGAAGCTTGATTGGTTGATGCCACTTTTTAAATGTCCTGCCCAATTCTATGGAGGTGATCAGGGCAATGACTCTTTCAGGGGACAGGTGTTTTATGCTTGAAGATCTAATTTTATTTATTGATGTAGTGTACATTTGCCTTAGCTACTTTGACAGATTTACCATCTATATATATAAAAGGCTAATATGCAAAGTGTCCCCTCAGGAGTTTGACCGGGAGACTGGGAGTTCGATTGCTTGCTATGACGTGCGCTGACCACCAGGGGTGGTGCAGAACATGATGGGTGACCAGTGGCGACAGCGGCAGGTTGCTGAGGGAGTGAGGGAGGGAGGAGGTGGGGAGGCAGGGAGGCAGGGAACCTGATCGACCCTGATTGCCAGCCAGGCCTAGGGACCCTATTTGTGTAAGAATTTTGTGCTCCGGGCCTCTAGTATAGTTAATAATAATATATAATCTCACTATCTATGGATAACACTATTAACATTCTGTGCATATTTTCATATATCTTAGCACTAAAGACAAAATTACAAAGGCAGCAATTTGGAGATTTTTGTATCCTGTTTCACTTAACATTATATCACAAGCATTTTCCCACTTCATTAAAATATATATAGCCCTGGCCAGTTTTGATCATTGATTAGAGGATTGGCCCATGGACTGAATGGTTGCAGGTTCAATTCTGGTCAAGGTGTAAGATTTTTGTCCAATCTCTTCCCACATCCTCACACCCCCTTCCCCCCAAGAATTGTGAGTCCACTCCCTTTCTATGCCCCTGATTCTATTATATTCACCAGTTTATTTTGTTCATCAGATTTTTTATTCACTTGATTTTTAGATTTACTTGTTGATAGATATGTATTTGTTGTCACTTTGTTGTTCATAATTTTTATCTTTACCTTTTTCTTCTTCTTCCTCTTCTTAAAGAATACCCTTCAGCATTTCATATAATACTGGTTTGGTGGTGATGAACTCCTTTAGCTTCTTCTTGTCTATGAAGCTCTTTATCTGACCTTCAATTCTAAATGATAGCTTTGCTGGGTAGAGTAATCTTGGTTGTAGGTTCTTGCTATTCATCACTTTGAATAGTTCTTGCCACTCCCTTCTGGCCTGCATGGTTTCTTTTGAGAAATCAGCTGACTGTCATATGGATACTCCCTTGTAGGTAACTAACTGTTTTTCTCTTGCTGCTTTTAAGATTCTCTCTTTGTCTTTTGCCCTTGGCATTTTAATTATGATGTGTCTTGGTGTGGTCCTCTTTGGATTCCTTTTGTTTAGGGTTCACTGCGCTTCCTGGACTTGTAAGTCTATTTCTTTCACCAGGTAGGGGAAGTTTTCTGTCATTATTTCTTCAAATAGGTTTTCAATATCTTGCTCTCTCTCTTCTTCTGGCACCCCCCATAATTCAGATGTTGGTGTACTTGAAGATGTCCCAGAGGCTCCTTACACTATCTTCGTATTTTTGGATTCTTTTTTCATTTTGCTTTTCCGGTTGGGTGTTTTTTGCTTCTTCGTATTTCAAATCTTTGACTTGATTCTTGCGATCCTCTGGTCTGCTGTTGGGAGTCTGTATAATATTCTTTATTTCAGTCAGTGTATGCTTAATTTCTGATTGGTCCTTTTTCATATCCTTGAGGGTCTCACTAAATTTCTCAGAGGCTTCTAGAAGATTCTTGAGTAACCTTATAACTGTGGTTTTGAATTCTATATCCAGTATTTTGCTTTTATCCATTTCTTTCATCTGTGACTTGCTTCTTTGTCTCCGCATTTTGGCTGCTTCCCTGTGTTGATAGAGTGGCCTTGTGTGGTAGGTGTCCTATAAGGCTCAGTGGCTCAGTCTCCCCAATCACCTGAGGTGGACACTCCTGGTGCACCCCTTTGTGGGCTGGGTTTACAGTCCTGTTGTAGTTAAGCCTTGATTGCTGTTGGTATCACTGGGAGGAATTGACATCCAGGCCAATTGGCTGTGAGGACCAGCTGTGTCTACAATGGAAGAACTGCTGTGCTGGAGACACCCTTATGGGGTAAGACTTGCTTCAGTGGGGCTTTGGTGCTCACTGAATCTGCCCTTTGAGTGTGTCCCTTATGGGACAGTTGTTTCATTTCTCATTTCATTGGGGGAATTTTGTGGCTCACCGTTTGTTTTTTCTCTTGTTCTTGGCAGTTTGCATATTCATATATACAGTCCTCTAAATCCACTTGTATATTCCTTCTTCATCTACATGTGTGCTCATGACCTAGTCCTTATACAGTGCAGTCAGGATCCAGTGAGCTGAATGAGTACCATGTTGTTGGCATTCCTCCATTTATGAGTGATAACACTCTTAGTCTTTAAATGAAAAACAACACATAGCAAACAGTTAACTTCATTTACTTTTGCTTCAGTTCTAAATCTCAGAGTCTATAAAGTTTCCAAATAAATGCCAAAGCAGTCAGCAAAGTTACTAGGGCTATTAATACTTCACAGGTCTTTCAAATCAAATGATAATGTACTCTGTGGTTACTGGGTCATCATCAACAGGATCCCTGAATGATATAGAGTGTTGAGGCTTACCCAAGGACTCCCTGGGTTGCTCAAATGTTCTAGTCCTTGTTTTCTTTTTTCTCTTTAAATAAATTTTACCTATTTTAGGAA